GCTGATGAACGCGGGTGCCGTGCTCAACTTCCGGCTGTGAGTGCGGGGGTGGGGCGGGGGGGATGCGGAGCAAGGACTGGGTGCAGCGCGCGCTAGCGGAGGTGCAACCCCGTGTCCCGTCCCCCCCCACCCCAGGAAGAAGAAGGATACTCAGGGCTTCGGGGAGGAGGCCTGGGAGCCGAGCACAGGTAAGGGCGGCCCTGGCCGGGGACCCCAACACACGGCCTGCGCCCAGGTGCCCACTCGCGCTGCAGTGTGCGGATACTGCCGCTCCCTCGGCCGCGACGGTTGGCTGCAGCACGTGACCGGGCCGACGGTGCGGTCAGATGCTGCTACCCCAGCTCCAGCCGGACCCGCTCGGTGGGATGCTCCTTCCTTTTCTTTGGGACGGGCCCATCGTGTGGCTCGCGCTTACGCCACAAAGGCTCCTTTGTGCCTGCCCGGATGGTAACGGCTGAACCGCTCATCACGTTTCTGGCCGGTTTGACTGATTGTCATCATTCATTCCTGGTTTGCCCTCGTGTCTGCGTCACTGATCCCCTCCCTAATCTGCATTCTTCATTTGTTTCTTTTTCTTGGTATTCTTTTCCCTAAAAGGTGAGGACGGTTTTGCGTCGGTGCCGAGAGCGTGTCTGGTGCTCGTGTGGGGGGTGCCTAGGGATTCAGGTAAATGCTTCTCCTCTTGGTTTACCAGGGGACAACATCCGGGAATTCTTGCTGAGTCTCAGATACTTCCGAATCTTCATTGCGCTGTGGAACATCTTTATGATGTTCTGCATGATTGTGTAAGTATAATTGCTGCATGTGTTGCTTTAAAGTAACAAAATTATTTACCTTGGTCTCCCAGTGAGACTTTTCCTAGTGTATTTGTAATTAAAACGCCCAAAACCTGAGCCAGGCCAGCCCTGTTACACAGTTGTACCCAGCTGTCATCTGCTTCATCTGTGTTTTATCCACTAGGTTGTTTGGGTCTTGAACGTCATGGAAGCATGTACCGGGCGCAGGTGTTCTGTTGTGACTGGGAAGAGGCTTTTGGCTGGAAACGTGACCGTTCTGTAAAGTAAAATATTGCAATATTTTCAAAATACCAGTGTGGAATTCTGTGCTTTCTTTCATGAGAGTTCCGAGAGGTTACAGGGACAGGGCACACTGGTGCTTTTCAACAAATTGTGAAAGGATGTGGTTATAAGAATAACATAGTATACTGTCAAGAGGGAGAGGGGCACTTTCATGGTTAGTTAGACCCAAACTGACCCTCCTGGACACTCGCCTCACCTAGATGTTACTGACTCTATGGACTCTTCATGTCTCCCTCAGAACGGAGTTCCATAAACTCTGAACTAAGAACAAACACCTTGGACCACATGCGCACTTCTCTTGCTTGCCGGCCTGCATGCTTGTTGTTTCGAGTAGTCTGGGCCACCGGCCTTGATTCTAAAAGCACAGCTCTGCAAATGGCATTGGTGGGCCAACAGCATGATGCCTGCCATCTAATGTTGTTTGATTTTTCTCTTTTGATTTTTCACTCGTTTGAAACTCCTGGTCTTTCCTGCCTTTGATTTGTCTGCCGATTTTTATATAACGTGGTGTATATATGCACCATTTAAAGAGACATTTATCTTGATCAAGAGACAAATTTTGATATTTATAAAAGGCTTTTTTTCTTTTTTTAAGTTAAGTTGCACTGTAACAGCTTGCTTAATAGTTAGACCAGCCATTTGCTACTTAGTTTTCTTTTGGCCACAGCAATAGCCTCAACATTCGGGTGCTAGGGGACTACCTAATGAAGAAATAACTTCAGAGGAGAAAAATACTGTTTGTTACATTAAAGAGCATGGTTGTCTGTAAATTATTCCAAAGACACTGCCTGCAGACTTTTTGAACATGAAGTTAGTAGTCCAGGGGCCACCAGAATCAATTAGTCT